GATCTGTTGGAGCTGCGCAGCAGATCTCGTGCTCAGGACCTCGACCAGGACCTCCTCGTCCGTCCCCAGTCCCTGCGGAGAGAGAGAGAGAGAGAGAGAGAGAGAGAGTCACGGAGTCCGCCCAGGGCGACAGCGGAGAGGCGCAGGTGAGTCAGACCCAGCCAGACGCAAGGATCGGGGCTTAGGAGGAAGGACGAGGGGGAGGGTCAAGGGCAGGGACAGCGTCCAGCCGGCTGGCGGTCAGTCACCTCCATGGCGTTCCGGAGCTGGTGAGCGTCGAAGACCGCGGGCGTCATCATCAGCCCCAGGAGCACAGTCTCCACCTCCCCAGACAGCGCCCTCTTCAGGTTGGGTACCAGCTCCTGGAGAAATGGAGGTGACATGACACCTAGGATTGCTTAAATCTGACACCCCCCTCCCATGTTTTTCTGTAAAGGTCAAAGGTGCATGCCTATCACACAAAAACAACATTTCATTCATGACAAGGACACTTGGTAGACATACTGACCAGACCCTCCAGGACCAGACAGCACTGACAGGCCCTCCGGACCAGGACTGGACAGCCCTGGAGACACACTGACCAGCCCCTCCAGGACTGAGACTGGACAGCCCTGGAGACACACTGACCAGCCCCTCCAGGACTGAGACTGGACAGCCCTAGAGACACACCGACCAGCCCCTCCAGGACTGAGACCGGACAGCCCTGCAGACACACTGTCTGGCCCCTCCGAGACCAGCACTGGACACCCCTGCAGATATGCTGACCACTGAGTCCTGGTACAGTTCTATTCAGTGTAAATCGGTACCAGAGACTCCCCTGCAGATCCCTACCTGCCCGGTGACACCACGGTACATCTCAGCAATCTGCTGTCTCTGGGCATTGGTGCGGTTGGTCAGGACTCTCACCAGCGAGCTCACATCTGTGCCAATGACAACAGCTGGGTTAGCAGTAGCTGTCACAGGGAGCTCTGCGCCAGCGGCGCACCTGTCCGCTGTCCCGGCTGGAGTCGCCCCGCCGCTCGATAGCGACTCCTGGATCCAGAGGTAACCTCAGGATCAGGATCAGGATCAGGAATAGCCGAAGCCCCAGATCGGCCCCCAGCAAATCACTGGGGCCACACCGGAGCACCAGGGAAGACAGCGTTACCTTTGTTTGCCATGGCGACAGCGATCTGCCAGGCATCCCTCTCCGGTCGGAAATTTGGAAAGGGCCGGATGGTCCCCAGGGTGCCCCAGGACATTTCCTTAGGGCACACGGAGAAAGAGAGGAGGTAGTAGTGAGTGGGCTGGATAGCATGCCTTCACTAATCATCCTTCATTCATTCATGTTTTGGCTCACATTGTGTGTTTTCACTTCTTGTCGCATGCAGAAACAATCACACGTGATTAAACAATCGCCTTTACAGTCCCCACCGCTCTTCCTCACTTGCAGCTGTTCCTGGAGTCCGTTCGCTCAGGCGCTGGAAAGACCAGGCGGGGGAGAGTCTGCAAGCGCTGAGGGATCTTTCATTTTGTGATCGGCCGTGTGGTTAGTTTTAGGAGGCGGGGAGCATGTTTCCAGTTGTGCCGAGTGTTCTGGACACTTGGAGAGGGTGGAATATTCGCCCCGAGGGGCGGGTTTTGTCACGGAATTTTGTGCCAGGTCAAAATTACCGACGCTGCAAGTCCAAGGCGATCAAATCGTGTGCTAGCAGACCTGTCCCGGTCGAGAGTGGCCTCAGTGGGGAGTCCCTGTTGCGCCGTAGGGTGTGGAAATGTTGAAGTAAGGCTTATGGGCTTGGCGTGCTGCAGCTAGCCCCAGGAAGCTTGGACCAGCATGCAGCGGGAAGCCCCAGAACCCCTTGCTGCTGGAGCTGCCGAAGGCCTGTGCGTGGTTTGATACCACACCACGTTTTAGTGATTTAGTGGTGCCGCGTTTTATCTATTTGTTTTTTTTTGGGGGGTCACACAGTGCCACTTTATGCTTTGACTTTGGCCGATTCTGTTTCCCAGTTAAAAGTCCTGAAACATGTCTATGGTGTTGGGGAATGAACACCTAAATGCAGAACGCTTGATATAGCATATTCACACAACCCAGCCCATGAGGAGTACCTCAGGAGCACTCCTCCAGAAAACCCGTCTACTAGCTGGGGATTTCTGAAGGAATAACACCTAGGCCTGATCCCACAGGATATCTGCATGTTTCCTGCAGGAGAGCTGGGGTTTCCCCCACAGGTCCTTACAGTGTCCTGCAGGGGCATGGCCTCCAGAGCGTCCAGCAGGAAGTCCATTTCGCTGTGACCCTGTTGACTGACCCTGTTGTTGAGGGACACATGAAAATCAGACTTGTCCAATCAGTACAGTCACCAAACTGGTCTTGTGCTGGGCTACTCTGTCTCTGTACTGTATCTCACTGTCTCTGTGTTGTATCAGTATCTCTGTATTTTATCTCACTGTCGCTGTGGGGTGTATCACAATGTCTCTGTACTGTATCTCACCGTCTCTGTGCTGTATCACTGTCTGTGCTGTATCTCACTGTCTCTGTACTTAATTTCACTGTTGTTGTGCTGTATCTCACTGTCTCTGTACTTAATTTCACTGTTGTTGTGCTGTATCTCACTGTCTCTGTACTGTATCTCACTGTCTGTGCTGTATCAGTATCTCTGTGCTGTAACTCACTGTCGCTGTACTGTATCAGTGTTTCTGTACTGTATCTTACTGTTGCTGTGCTGTATCATTGTCTCTGTGTGATGTATCTCAATGTCTCTATACTGTATCAGTGTCTGTGTACTGTATCTCACAGTCTCTATGCTATATCTGTCTCTGTAACAAACTTTCTGTGTTCTGTATCACAGTGTCTCTGTGCTTTAGCACAGTGACTTTATGTATCACAATGTGTGCTGTATCACGAAGTCTCTGTGCTGTATAACAGTGTCTGTGTGCTGTATCAAGACGTCTCTGTGCTCCATCTGTGTCTCTGTGCTGTATAAATATGTCTGTGCTGTATTGGTGTCTCTGTGATTAACTAACTGCTTATTAAAAGCACTATTCATTAACATCCTTTAGAGAACCTTCATATTTTAATATAAAAAGACATTTAATTAAAAGAGAAGATGAAACAAGCTCACCTCAGCTGCAGTAATACAGACAGGATCCGCTGGTTGGAATCTGTTAACACACCAAAGTGCTGGAGCTGCCTGAGACTGTTAGCTCAGTAAGGGACAGCAGTGTCTGTATCACAGGGCAGAGTACGCTGGTTGGACAGGTTCCATATCCGCGTGTTAGGAAAACAGTGTCCAGGGTGTGTCTTCTGCAGAGTGGCCCCAGGGCCAAAAGTCTGTTACACTTCCAAAATATCTTACACCTGCAGCGGCCAGAACCCGTTTGAACAGTGTTGGATAGCCAGAAAGAAATGTGCTTTTCTGTACCTGTAGAATCTGTTGCTTAAAAATGCACTTGATGGAGAGAAACATGAAAGCTTAGTCATGCCAACAGGTACTTGATCTCTGTACTCATTATTTGCAGAAGGGTTTTTTTCCCTGAATGTGTCAGTGCAGTGTTGCTCAGTACACTATCCGCCAGTGAGTCACTCTCCCCAGCAGGCAGTTGTTTGGAGGGACTGTGCTTACTATCCAGTTGGCCTTGAGGCTCGTCTTTGCACTCTGTAGCTGTAAAAATACAGGAGGTAAGAAAACTCTGCTCTTGCTCCTGTGTGGCAGCAGGGGGAGCATGCACCCATCTGTTTGTTTTCTGTCTTCTCCCAGGACAGAGTCGACCCCGGCGCAAGGCAGGGTACAGCCTGGGGGGGACACCAGTCCATCGCAGGGCGGATAGAGACACACGCTCTCTCACACCCACCACGGCCAGTTTCCACGTCACGCGCCAGGGTGCGGAGAGCCCTGTCTCTGGAGAGGCTGGGCTCTTCTCGTTCTTCTTCTAACATGAGTATTTCAGTAAACTATTAAACTCAGTATTTTTTAGACGCAGTGTAACCTCGGTCACATGACCTAATGGAACCAGTAAAGGCTTATTCCACGCTGAGAAGAGAAGAAAAGAAACACAACGTTTCGGCTGTGGAGCCTTCTTCGGGTGTGTGAGAAGAAGGCGCCACAGCCGAAACGTTGTGTTTCTTCTCTTCTCTTCTCATCGTGGAATAAACCTTTACTGGTTCCTTCGGAGCCCACGCGTGCAGGCGCAGCTCCCTGCTCGGGCGACTTTAAATGACGTCAGCGCGGTGAGGCGCGCAGTGCGGAGCCGGTCCGTTTAAAAGTCCACCTCCCGCCATGCCCTGCGCGAGACCGGCGCGGCGGCTGAGCCAGAATTATCCATTAAAACGGTGATAGTTTACAGGTCGGAAGCGAAAACGTCTTTTTTTTGGGTCGCTTTAGTCAGACTTCTTTTAAAGGATATCGTGCTTTTGGAAGCCTTTTAACGGATTCACTTTCCAACTTTGCTGTGGTCAACCCTTCGGTTTTTTGGGGGGGACTAATACTCTGTTTTTCCTGTATGGACGTCGAAGGACAGTTTTATTGGAGCACGTCGGAGTGGGTGAGGTCTCCCTAGTCCTTCCTTGTCTTCGGGCGTGTTGGAAGTGTTGGACGCTACCGGCGGTGGAAGCAGTCTTCGTGTCTGTGTGTTTCCTGGGAGTAGCCGCGGTGTGAGACTGTTCTGTGTGCCGTTACCTCAATACTGCTGTTACTGCCGTGTATTCATAGTGAAGCTCTGTGTGTATCCAGCCACAGAAGTGCGGTATCCTGTTTCTCGCGAGCCTTGTGTTATTGTCATCGCTGTCGATCGATCATTTATCCCGAATTCGGTGGGAGACCATCCCTGATCAAAGGGGGTTAAGGGACGACCGTTAGGA